TCCCCTGAGGACATGCTTATTGACTTTAGACAGAGGGGAAGGGAGGGAGAGAGGGAGAGAAACATCAATGTGGGAGAGAGACACCGACGGGCTGCCTCTTGTAGTGCCCCAACCAGGGACCAAACCCACAACCTAGGCTTGTGCCCTGACTGGGAACCAAACCTGTGACCTTTTGGTTCATATGACTAAGCTCCAGCCCACTGACTCACACCAGCCAGGCCTCACCTGGAAACATTTTAGAAATGCAAATCCAAGACCCACTGAATCAGAAACTTTGCGGGTGGGCCCCAGCGATCTGCTTTAACAAGCCCTCTAGGTAATCCTGATGCACGCTCAAGTGTGAAAAGCAGCGAGTGACAGCACAGTGCTCACACGGGGGGCTCCAGCCCGGACCGGACCCCACGCGCTCAGACCTCGGCTGGCTCAGCCGCTCGCAAGCTGAGTTGTACCAGGCGAGTGAATGAGGATGCTCCAAGCTCAGCTTCCCCACGGACACGCTTGGAATGTCTACAAAAAGCTTTTTAAAAAGTCCCAGTGGTGCATCATTGTATGAAGTTTTAAAAATAATTTGGGGGGAGGGGATGGGCAGAGGTGGAAGAGGGTATAAGGGGGATACATGGTAATGGAAAAAAATACAGTGAATATAAGTAAAAAATAATAATTTCAAAAACACTCTTCCCCTGAGATTGAAGATAGGCATGCAGCAGTAGGCAGTTGCGTTTTCTTTTCTTTTAGTAGAAACCGCAGTGACTGTACCAGAAAGCCCAAGGTTAGCTCATGGCTTACTCATGGTTAAACAAGGACAAAGTGAACTGGGAAACAAGAAGAAGTGGGTGGGTCACACTTCATAAAAATAGACCCGTACAAACGTTTAGGGGCTAGACGAGTGCCCCAACAGGAAAGTTCCGCTAGCAGGTACCTGCCGGTCCTATTTTGGTGCATCAAGCCCCGAACGCCTCATGCCCGTCTGCGTATCCGTGGCTCCGCTCACTTCCTGAGTGGCACACGCGGCGCCCCTCTCTTCCTGTTCTCTCAAGGACTTTCTGGTCTTGCTACGCTCTTACCCTGCACGGAAACAACAAAGATTTTGGAGATTTTCCCAGCTTGGGTTAACTGCCTGCAGTCCTGGGTCAGTGACTTCATCTCTTGGAGTTAAAGATCTTTAGAAAGAATCTGGCGGCAGGAAGGGTGGTGCCAAGGGCACTTCTTTGAGTTCTGTGTTTGCGTAAGAACCACTTTAAAAAACACAAAACAAAAACTCAGGCGAACTGTTTGTTCACGGGAAAGAGCTGGGGGAGCACTACAGGAGATTATGGCGGTGGAGGGACTGAAGTCCTCCACCCGACCCTCCATGCCCGCTGGTGCTCCACTTTGGAATGTAACAATATGCCCCTCACACAGTTGTTAAGAGAATAAAATGAGCTTTGCCCAGAGCCCAGTGCTGAGTGGTTGCTTTAAGATTGTATCGGTGTGAAACTTCTAGAGAAGTCTCCAGTAGAGTAGGCCGTGTTGGCCTACAGATCTTCTGCTTGGTTTATATTTTCTGATAAGTTTTTAAAAGAATTTATTTATTTACTTTTGGAGAGACAGGGAGAGAGAAAGAGAGGGAGAAACATCAATATGCAACAGATACATCCATTGGTTGCTTCTTACATGCTCCCAACTGGGGACCCTGCCCGCAACCCAGGCATATGCCCTGACTGGGAATCAAACCGGCAACCTTTTGGTTCGCAGGCTGGGGCTCAATCCACTGAGCCACACCAGCCAGGGCTGTTAATATATTTTATTTTGTATATAAGTAGTTTTTAATTATATAGATGTGACAGTCATGGTCATGTCTTTCAGATGACCCTTTAAGAGGCTGACAAGCATATGAAAAGATGCTTAGCATCATTGATTAGAGAAATGCAAATCAAACCCACATGGAGATGTCACTTTGCACCAGTTTAGGATGACTATTATTAAAAGAAAAATCAGAAAAAGACAAGTGTCGGTGAGGACCTACAGGGAGAAATTAGAACCCTCATGCATGGTCGGTAGGGGTGTAAAATGGGGCAGCTGCTGTGGAAAACAGTTTGACAGTTTCTCAATTAATTAAAAATAGAACAACTTCTGGGTGCATAACCTAAAGAACTGAAAGCAGAATCTGGAAAAGATGTTTGGACACCTACGTTCACTGCAGCAGTGTTCACAGCAGCAAACGGGTGGAAGCCACGCAAATGCCCCCAACTGAATGGATGAAAAAATGTGATCCACCCACACGGTGGAATATCATGCAGCCATAAAAAAGGAGACTGACACAGGCTACAACCTGGGTGAACATGGACAACATTATGCTGAAAGAAGTCGAACATGGTACCCATTAGCTAATTGCATGTGGCTAATGAATACTTAAAATGTGGCTGGCACAAATGAGTTTAAAAAGGCTGTTTTAAATCCTCATCCAAAAATATGCTTATTGTTTTGAGAGAGGGAGAAATGTCAATCAGTTGCCTCCCATCATACTCCAACCCAGGATCAAACCCACAACTGAGGTATACACCCTAACCAGGGATTGAACCCTCCTTTTGAAGTACGGGTTGGCACTCCAACCCATTGAGCCACCTACCAGGGCCTAAAATTTTAATTAAGTTGAAATTTACACAGCTAAAACTGACAGTAACAGTGTGGGTCTCTCTCGGCCATGACAGTTTGCAGCTCCCCTTGTTTTTCACGACCTGGATGGTTTTGAGGACTGGTCAGCTGTTCTGTAGGACACTCCTTGGCATTTGTCTGGTGCTTTTGTCACGATTAGACTGGGGCGCGGGTTTTGGGGGGGAAGCTCACAGGGGTAAAGTGCCATGTGCACCACGTCTCACGTTGCACCCAAGGCGCCTTACACTGTAGACGTCGACCTGATCCCCAGCTGATGCGTGTTTGCCAGGGTTCCGTCGAGTCCCTCCTCGCTCCCCTTTCCCACGCTGTGTTCTTCGGAAGGAGGTCACTGTGCCCGGCCCACACTAAGGGGTGGAGGATTGCACTCCATCCTCTCCACAGAGGAGCTGGCTGCACAGATGACCTGGAACTCGGCATTGCAGGCTTGTCTCTTCTGCCCGGTTCATTTCATACCTTGGGCTATCATCTAACACTAGGCTGCTGCGCGAGCTGCTTTGCTTCGGTCCCGGGGAGCCTCCGGTCAGTGCTGCGCACCCTGACTGAGCTGTCATTGGCGGGCTCCTTGGTTTTCAACACTTCTCTGAGTTCCGGCACCACGGCTTGCTCCAAGCTCATCTTATGCTTTCCTCGGCCCAGTCTTAGAATCAGTCATTTGTTTGAGGAGCATGCGTTACCTTGATCGGGGAAGGACGCCAGAAACTGAGGTCTGGGCGCTCGGTTGTGCTCAGTGCTACCGGGGTGCACGCACACCAACTGTTTTTTGTTGTGCTAAAACAAACACACAACTGTCACTACTGTAACTGCTCCTAAGTGTGTAGTGCAGCGCGTGAACGTGCACTCAGCATAGTCACAAGGTCCTGTGGCCTTCACCATCCATCTCCGGAGCTTTTCCATCCTCCCTGTGCTCGCTGAACAACTCTCCCAACACCCACAGCCCCAGGGAACTGCCCTTTGGCCTCTACACATTTCACCAGGCCCCGCATGTAAATCAAATCACACAGGACTTGGCCTTCCGTGTCTGGCTCACACAGTGTCCTTCCGGGTGTGTCCAGGTTGCCGTAGTGACCAGGATCTCCTTTTCGGGCCTGAACAGCATTCCTTTGCATGTACACAGGGTCCAGCAGAGGGAAGGCCTGCTTGAGTGTGGTGGGCAGGGTAATAACAAGGGTGTGACAATGTACAGTTTTCATCTGAACATTTCACCTAAAATGTCACATGGTGCGCTTCGGTGTGCTATTGTCATGTTACAGAATGACATGCTTATGATTTCGTAATAGAAGATTTTGTAATCGAGGGGCGTTATTTGTGCCAGACCCTGCATATACCACATACCCTTTTTAAACATAAAAATGTAAACTATAGCTACTGCTTATTTTTTTATTCAATAATACGTTTTCATTAATATAGTTCAAGAAAAATGTACTTCAGACAAGTTCTAGATACTTAGAGCCCATGCCTCACCTACGTATCCGAGATTCAGTGGAGACCCGGTGGTGGTCATACACCCTTAGTAATTCGACACAAGCTTACCTTCCAAGAATAAGATTAGGACGAAAATGAGATCGGGTGTTTGCAGAAACTGCCCACTTGCAGGGATTAATCCGAAAATGAGAGGTGTACGGACATCACAAGACACCCACCACCAAAGTTAAGAAAAGGCGCGACAAGCCCTCATCTACCCGAATACCTTCACCTGCCCCCCAAAAACCCCCATAATCAAAACACACCCATGTCCCCGTTCTGCGCGTATGTACTGACCACGCGGTCCTTTCCTGCCCCTCCCACGAACGGGCAGGGGTCCTTCAGTAGCTCCCAGAAACCCCTGGGACTTGGGGAAAAAACGAGAATGCCCGGAGATCTGGGGTCGCAGACCCCGGCGGGGCCCGGGAAACCGCACTGTTAACACGAACCCACGCGAATCCAGCGTCCCCGCGCTGCGAAGAACGGGTTGGCTCGTGCGAAAGCGAACTTATTACATCTAGGAGTCAGGGAAACTCGGGGAAAACGTACGGGATTTCATGTGGACCGGCACACGCATGTTCTGAAGAAACCGTAATTTAAAGAAAGGGTAAATAACGACCGAAGGGAGACTGCGGACAGCCGCCCGCGGCGCGGACTGAGCCGAGCGCGAGGCACCGGGAATCGGCGGCTCCCGGACGCCCAACTGCACATTCGATAGTTTTTCAACTCAACGGTGCAATTTAGCAGGTCTTGCCTTCGTGGAAAAAAAATTAGACATTTTATTCTCCTCGGAAATAATACGCCTCCGATGCTCAATACAGAGGATTAAATATCTTCAAACAAAAGCGGAAGTGGGAAAAACAAACAAACAAAAAAAAACAGCTCCGTGACGAATCTGCTTCTCCCAATGTGAAGGTCCGGTCAGGCAGACACCAAGAATCTTCCATCGTTCCCAGCCCGCGCCGGTTTCCGTGGGGAAGGGAGCGTGAGCCTGGCTAAGGTGCGTGGGCGAGGCTTGCAGGGAGCTGGGCCCCGCGGCGGGAAGGATTTAGGTATTTCGGCCCGGACGTTGTGTCCGCTCGCGTGTGACCGCCATGTTGAAACCTGGCAAAGGAGGGAGACCTTTCGGTGTTGTGGTTCGGGGGGCTGGGACAATAACTGCTTTGGAAAGATGGCCCTTGCCGCTCGACAGAAGGCGAGAGGCCGGCGGCTATGGCGGAGGCGCTTCGGGGTTTTGGGGGTACAGGCCTTTCCACGAACACTTCCGTCTTAGCGTCCGCGGCGCCACTGCGCATGCTCGCCAGGGCTCTGGGTCCCCGGTTCGGGGTTGTTTCCCACTCGGGTGGAAAGCGCGGGAACGTCTTGTTTTGCAGACTCAGTAAGGAGAGACGTGCTTTGTTTGCTTAATAATAACAACTTTTATTTGTATAATAATTTATAATTATAAAGCGCTTTCAGAGACTGTTATCCAGTCTTCACAAAAGCCTAGTGAAGTGGCGTTTAGCTGCATTTTACCAGGTGATTTACATTTTGCCCAAAGTAAGACCAGGCCTGAAACCTGGGTGTTCCGATTCCCAGTCTAATGCTCTTTTTCACTTTCCATGCTTTTATTTTTAGTGGTTAACTAAACCTCCCACCCACCTCCACCCGACACACCGTTCGTCTCTCACCTCCTATCCCCATTTATAAAATAATGGCGAGGATCTAACACGCCAAAGAGGTTGTAGGAAATGCGGACATAATGCTGCCACGGAGGATGTGTACCCAGAAAGATGAACGCAGTTCTCTCCTATTTGGTGTTGATAGAAGACTGTGTAGATGAGGGAGAAAACAAAAGTCGTGTTTATCCCTTTGTAATTGCCCAGATATTAATGTGAGGATCTCCTTAAGCTTTGAACCGGAGCTCTGCGTACAATAATAATAATAATAATAATAATAATATTTTTGTGCCTGATTTAAAAAAAAATTTTAAGATTTTATTTATTTATTTTTTAGAGGGGAAGGGAGGGAGAAACAGAGAGAAACATCAATGTATGATTGCCTCTCCCAAGCCCCGGAATGGGGACCTGGCCCACAACCCAGGCATGTGCCCTAACTGGGAATTGAACCTGCAACCCTTTGGTTCGCGCAGCCCGTGCTCAATCCACTGAGCTACATCAGCCAGGGTTACAGTAATATTATTTTTATTTGATGGATCTCTGTGACCTTTTCGTGTAGAATGGGGAAAGGGTCTCAGCCTCAAACTCCCAGAACCCTAATCATTTTTCCCTATCCTCATCTCCAAAGGGTTATAGTTTATGATGGCCATCGAAGGAAATAGTGAAGAACTTAAGCTTTGGAGCTAAAAAAACGCCGGGCTACTTCTTAGCTTTGTCATTTGGCGTAAAAGACAACTTTTTGTAATCACCTTGTACATCTGAGATGGCAGTAAGAGTAGTGTCTATTTCCTGGTGTTGTTGAGAAATGAGGGGACTTGAGTGCACCGCACAGTGGCTGGCGCCTCCTAAGTGTCCGATACAAGTCAACTGTAGTTATAATGGTCTTTTCTTTTTTTCCCTGCAACCCCTGTGATGGAGGTTAGCATCTAAGAATTTCAGGGCCAGTAGAATGGAGTTGATGCAGAGAATATTAGAGCAGAGATTCCACCAACATAGAGGTATCTTTTTTCCCCCACGTAGAGATATTCCAGCCGCGGGGGGGCGGGGGGGGGAGCACAGAGTGCCCAGGGGCAGAGCCCAGACCCAGCACAATTGTGCCACTGTGCCCGGTGCTCCTCCCATTGCTCTGACTGTCCATCAGCCTTTTGTGGGTGAGGATTCCTGAGGGGTTTTCTCCCGAGTTGCTTGTTAGTGAGGACAGACTTACATGCCCTCCTTTTACAAAATGGTGACAGTGTCCTGTTGTCCCTCTCGGTGCTCATTGAAGTACTCCTTTCCGTCTGATTAGTACCAAAAGACGTTCAGCGAATTGGGACTGCAGTTGGTTCAGACCCCCAGCGTGTATCAGGGAGGGCCCTAGGATCTGGAAGTGAGCAGGCCCCGGGCGGAAGAGCAGTGTGCACTGTGGGTGGCGGGGACAGTGGTGAGTGTGGCAGAGGAGGCACCAGGAGCTGTGGGGGAGACGGATTTGCTTCCTGGGGAGGAGGCTGCAGGCTGGACTTGGACTTGGAAAGGCCGGCAGAATTTCTGCAAGTGGAGATGTGGGAGGCGGAAAGGAAGAGAATGTTCCCAGCAGAGGAAGTCTTGTGGGCAGAGTCATGGGGCTGGCGGGTTAGGGCACGTGCGAGCCACAGGGGCCCCTCCTGGGCAGAACGGGTTTTGCGGTGGGATATGGATAGGCCAAGTGAAGGTCAGAGGGCCGAGTCCCTCGACTTCTGAATTTCTGGAGTGTTTGGCTTTTTTTTTTTTTTTAAAGATTTTATTTATTTATTTTTAGAGAGGGAAGGGAGGGAGATAGAGAGAGAGAGAAACATCAATGTGCGGTTGCTGGGGGCCATGGCCTGCAACCCAGGCATGTGCCCTGACTGGGAATGGAACCTGCGACGCTTTGGTTCGCATCCCGCGCTCAATCCACTGAGCTACGCCAGCCAGGGCAGTGTTTGGCTTTTTCCTGGGAAAGAGAACTCTGCAGCCTTCCCCGCAAACAATCACTCCTCCTACGTAACCCATAGACTGAAGAACAAAAGCAGAAAGATCCTGGAGGGACATCTGAGAAAGAAGGGAAAGTTGTAGATATTATTTTAACAATATCCTGGGAAGGTGCTGTTAGCGAAGAGCCCTGGGTTTTAAGTAACGTATTTCAGCGTTGGCTCTAGGAGTCCCAGAGGTGGTCGCGTGGTCATCAGCGGCGTCTGGAACGTGGGCAAGCACTGTGTCGTTCCGGCGGGTTCTCGTTTTATGCACCCCCTTTCAAAAGCTGTTACCATGCGGCCCGCAGCCGCGTGGCTGTCAGTAGGTTTGGCTTTGCCCCCTGTGTCCTGACGGATGGAAAACGCTGCCTTCCAGGCACCATTTTCCCTCATAGTTTTGCTTTTGAAAAAGCCCTTTTCAGCCCTGGCTGGCATAGCTCAGTGGATTGAGCACGGGATGCGAACCAAAGTGTTGCAGGTTCGATTCCCAGTCAGGGTACATGCCTGGGTTGCAGGCCATGACCCCCAGCAACCTTGCAATGATGTTTCTCTCTCTCTCTCTATCTCCCTCCCTTCCCTCTCTAAAAATAAATAAATAAAAGTCTTTAAAAAAAAAGAAAGAAAGAGCCCTTTTCTCTGTGATGCATACTGAAACGTTCACACAGGAGTGGTGCGATATCTAGAATTTGCTTCAGAATCCCCTGGGAGTGGGGATGGGAGGGGAAGCGCAGGGAAAACCAGACCGGCCACTTGTTGGTTGGGGTTGAAGCCGGCTGGGGAATTTGTGGACGGTACCGCCACGCTCTACGTAGGTAAGTTTGAAATTCTTGGCGGTCGAGTTTTTAAAAGCCGCATTTCCGTAGCAGTTCCCACACTGGTTTTCCGGTGGCCACTTTAAAGTGTGTGAAAGGTGAGCCTGGATGTTGACTCTGCCTCCGCGTTACAGTGTCGCCAGTGCGTGCCTTGTGGTGGCTGAGCCGGATGGTACACATCCGACTCGGGCCTGGCCGTTTCCTGCTGCCTCCTGGGAGGGTGGGGGCGGGGAGGGTGGGTAAGAGCATCTCCGGAGCCCACCTTCTAGCTGGGTGCCTCGGCCTCCGGGACCCCACCTCCATCCCCAGGGAGGAGGGGTGCGTGGTGGGGTCCGCCTCCCGGGCTCAGAGGCGGCGCTCACAGCAGGCGCTCCATAAACGCTTCCTGTGGTCTCTCCTAGAACATGAACGACTGGGTGCCCATCGCCAAGGAGTACGACCCCCTGAAAGCTGGCAGCATCGATGGCACGGATGAAGACCCCCACGACCGTGCGGTCTGGAGGGCGATGTTGGCGCGGTACGCCCCCAACAAGGGCGTCACGGGGGACCCCCTCCTCACCCTGTTCGTGGCGAGGCTCAACCTGCAGACCAAAGAGGAGAAGCTGAAGGAAGTGTTTTCCCGCTACGGGGACATCCGGCGGCTCCGGCTGGTGAGGGACTTGGTCACGGGCTTCTCCAAAGGCTACGCCTTCATCGAGTACAAGGAGGAGCGGGCCCTCCTCAAAGCGTACCGGGACGCCGACGGCCTGGTCATCGACCAGCACGAGATCTTCGTGGACTACGAACTGGAGAGGACCCTCAAAGGGTGGATCCCCCGGCGACTCGGAGGAGGTCTGGGGGGGAAGAAGGAATCGGGGCAACTGAGATTCGGGGGGCGGGACCGGCCCTTCCGCAAGCCCATTAATTTGCCTGTTATTAAAAACGACCCGTACAGAGAGGGGAAGAGGGAGAAGAGGGAGCGGTCCCGGTCCCGAGAGAGGCGCTGGGAGTCGCGGCCCCGGGACCGGGACCATGACCGGGGCCGGGAGAAGAGGCGGCAGGAGCGGGAGCCAGCCCGGGCGTGGCCCGACAACGACTGGGAGAGGGAGAGGGACTTCCGAGAGGACAGGGTCAAGGGCAGGGAGAAGAAAGACAGGAGTAAGTAGAGGCCCGACGCCCCCGGCCACAGAGCCCGAAGCAGGGCGGAGGGGCCCGCGCGGCTTTTACACGGAGGACGAGTCCAGTGCCGACGAAGCGCAGGTGCCAGCTGACCGCCGATGCTGGGAGTCTCTCTTCCTCACCGTGGGTCGCTTGGGACACGCTTCTGACCGTGCTCGCCGGCCTCCGCACGGAGGGGCGCGGCCAGGGAGCACCGGTGTTCAATTTGGTGGTGATGGTCTGGTACCGGTCTTTAATTTTGGCAGGGAATTCGTTTGGAGAATTTTATTTTCTCCCATCTCTTAGAAAGCGACCATTTCGAGTGCTTGGCAAAAAGAAGGCATGACCAAAAATCATTCGTATTGATCTGTGACTCCTGGCAGCCCGGCCCTGGTCAGAGTAACTTGCATCTCTTCCACCTCCTTGTGCACAGAGCAAGGGGTGGTGGAACCGCCATAAAGACGGGGCGGAAAAGCGAATCCAGGGAGGAGGGACGTCCAGAGACTGGGCACCCAAGCCGGCCTGAGCTGTGATCCAGGCGGCGGCCAGCTGCTCCTGAGCAGATGTTACTCCGTGCTTGAGCTACATGCTGCCTTTGTCTTTTTTTTTTTTTTTGAGCTACATGCTGCCTTTGTCTTTTTTTTTTTTCCTGGATGGGAGGCTGACATTTAAGATGAAACACCAGCCCTGGGGGGCGTGGCTCAGTGGCTTGAGCACCGAAAGGCCGCCTGTTGCACTCCCAGTCAGGGCATGCGCCTGGGTCACGTGCCAGCGCCCCAGCAGAGGGCGTGCGAGAGGCAACCGGTCTACGTGTCTCCCCTACATTGGTGTTTGTCTCCTCTCTCCCTTTCTCTAAAAGTAAATAAAGTCTTTTAAGACAAATTAAAAAATGAAACACGAAAGCTGCAGCGCTGTGGGGCTGCGGTGTCTGGCAGTCTTCCAGCCCTTGGGGGAGAGAAAGCTCAAAAGGGAGTGAAACGGAGATGAACCGGTGACAGGTTTGTGTCCAGCTTGGATGGATGGATCGAGTGGCTGTCTTCCTCTGGCCGTCTGGCCTCTGTTGTGGAGCTGGGTGCACGGACCTCAGCTCCTGGGGGCTCTCAGTAAGTGCCACCCGTTCTCGTGGTGCCATGAAAGTGACATTTAGCGTTTCTGGTTTGAAGGTTTAGGCTCCTATAATTCAGGATACTTCAGGCAACACAAATGTCTGAGTTAACATCAAGGCTCACACATGCGTTACCGGGTTTTTGCATTAGGAGCGTGAATCTCGTCACGTAGGCAGCCCGCTGGGTCTTAAAACTGCTGTCAGCTGTTAGAACGGTTTTAGAAAAAATGGGAACTTTGCGAATTGCCAGCGCAGAACTCGACAGTCTCCAGGCTCAGAAGAGAGCCGCGCAGGAACACCGGCCGGATCGCGTCCGTGTTCTGCCTACTACGCGCTCCCTATTGCGGCACCCAGTGAGTCGGCAGGAGCTGTAGCTGAGCAAGAGTGCGACATGTTAGGGAAGCAGGTGTCGGGGGACAGCACGGGAAACCAGTTGAAATGTGCTGTCAACCCCGAGTGCCAAAATACGGATGGGTCCCAAGTCCCCAGCCCCTGGGCTGCGGACCGGTACCAGTCCCTGGCCTGTTAACAAGAACCCGCGGCAGCACAGCAGGGGGTGCGGTGGGCGGGCCAGCGAGGCCGTGTTCTCACTGCCGCCTGAGCTCCCTCTCCGGTAACCCACGAACCCGCCCCGTCCGTGGGAAGATTTCCATGAAACTGGTCCCTGGGCTAAAAAGGTCAGGGACTGCTGGATTAAAAAACATGCTCTCAGACCCTGGCCCTGGACGGTTGGGTTTAGTCTTGTACGAACCCTGGTAACTTAAAGTAAAAAAAAGGGTGGACTGCCCGCCCGCCCGGCAGGGACTCAAGTAGTCGGTCAGCGTGACCAAGGCACTTAGCGCTGACCCAGCCAATCCGCTTCCAGCTTCCTCTGCAGCCGGGCGCACGCTTGTGAGAGCCTGTGACGCTGTCTCGGGGAGGACCGGGAGGACTCCGTCTCCACCAGGGGGACCAGGGTGCCTCCACCTCAGCAGTGCTGCCAGTTGGGGCCTGTGGGCGAGTTCTTCCTGCATCCCGCACGGTGCAGGGTGTGTGGTCACATCCCTGGATGACAGCAGCCCGCCCACTGCAGCTGCCACCAGGGTGACAACCCAAGTGTCCCCGGGGGCAGAACCGCCCCTGGCCGAGACCCAGGGTCTGTGCACTGACAGGAAGTCCTGTCCAGGGCATGCTAAGAAAAAAGGTACCAGACAGCAAGCAGGTATCTAGAGGGTGCTGCCATTTATGTGAAAGAATGAAAATATATGTTTTGATTTTTACACAATTGCATGCAGGTTTATAAACGACTTCAGAAAAGACAACCAAGGAACTGGCAATCCTGGTTACCCCTGGGAGGGCAACCAAAGGTGGTCGGGGGCTGGGGGCTGGGGGTGGGGGAGGTTCCTCAGCACACATGCTTCTGAGAACCAACTTGTGGTTCTCACGGGCAGTCAGCTTTGAGAACCTCGCTGCGCAGCAACGCCATCCTGTCTGCCGGGTGCCGCCAGCACGCCGGGGACAGTCTGGCGACTACGATAAGCTGACCCCACGGTTTGTTTCTTAGCCGACCAGAGTGGAGTGTGTAAAAAATGTGGCCTCGTCCCATGTGCTTGTGTCCTCTGTTAGGAAATGCCACCTCTCTCCATCCGCAAGCACCCAGCCCGCCGCCCTGCGTGCTCAGTGGGTGGAGGGAAAGAGCATTGTTTGGGCAGAGCCCCAACTCGCCAGCTGCAGTGGGGGCCGCTGGCTCCCCCGCTCACCACCCTCCCACCTTTCAGCCGCCCCTGCTCTCGCAGGTCTCCCCCACTCACCGTCCTCCACCCCTGGGCTCTAGCGCCCCGTTCTCAACCTGCTCTGGGACACTTGTCTTCTTCACGGGGGTGGGGCTAGGTATTTGATGTGGTGAAGGCTAAAAGGAGAAAAGATGTCAAGTAAAAAAAAAAACCCACACGAGAAATGTTGCAATCTCATCCTTAGCAACTGTTTGGCTGGTTAGTGCTGCGTGTAACTCCCAGCGGATCCCAGGCCCCCAGCCCCGGCCTCGGGCGGCGCCCCACGCTCAGGCACTATCAGGGACCAGGGGCCAGAGAGCGGCACCGGCTCCTGCAAAGCTGTCCCCAGTCTCTGGGCGGGAGGGACCCTGTCCACCTTTTCTGCTGCTGTGTGTCTTCGTCCCGTGACTCCGGAGGCCCCGCATGTCTCCTGGGTCCACCCTACGCAAACTCGATCCCCGTGACAATCTCAAGAACGTAAGGAATGAGCACCTACCGCTCCCACTTAAAGGTCAAATGTAACAAAACCTCTGGCCACAGAGTTTGATACCGAGCAGCCCAACAGCCGGTTCCATAGTGGCGAGTGACGTATTTGGCTTAAAGAAGCTTGTGTTACTGAAGTTAATGCAAAAGTCTGGCCTTCACTCCCAGTCTCATTAAATATATATCCTAAGGGATCGAAGTCATCTACTACAAACGGCGACAGCCCTGGGTATAAATAAACATTTCTGCAGAGTTCGGCGTCAGGTTTTCAGTGTGCTTCCTCAAAGCAGCGGGTCTGAGGGGTCAGTTTTGAGGGTGCGCCTGAACCGAGAGGCGTGCGAGGCGGTGACACCGGGGCTGCCAGGTCCCGTCCGGGCGGCGGCGGCTGGTTCGGGTCCGAGGGCCACGGTCACAGGTGCTGCAGGGCCTCCTGTCCTTGCTCTGTGTAACCGTCGTCACGGTGGGAGTTGGCCCACTGGCCGAAGGACTCCTGGACGTGCACGTTCCTCTGCGTGTTGGCCAGACGCTTCTTATCCCGCGAGAAGAAGCTAAACCTTTCGGGAGGAGAGAAGGCAATGAGCTCCCGCCCGTCGTGGGTGCACACCTCAGCACTCTGCAACGCGGGGACACACGGCAGCCGGCCGATGGTGGGAGGGAGCGAATCAAGTCAGGGGGCTGCGGGTCAGAGTTATGCTGGAAAGCGGCAGGGGTTGTGCGTGTCACTGCCACGGCACCTTGGAGGTGACAGTGCGAACGGGGATTCCACACGTGTGACCTCCTACCTTACCCACCTCGAGGGGCTCCTCGCCACAAATGGAAGGAAAAAGCTACTCGGGACACACACCGTGGGTTTCTTCGCCCCAAGGATGCAGAGAAGGTTAACACGCGAGAAAGCCACGTGGCAGGTGGGAGGAGTCTGACGTGCAGGGCGAACGCTGGCGTGCAGCTGTGCGTTTAGTGAGCCGGGAAGCTAGGTAAGGGGCGCCTCGGAGCCCGGAATCCACGGGCACTCCCGCTGAGGCGGCCGCGAGCGTGGTGATGCGGGAAAATGAGAGGATCACAAAGGACGGTAATAGGACCCCGGTGTGGCTCCCCAGTTAGACAGACACCACGACTACGCGTGTGAGTGGAATCTGGGAGACGTCACTGGGAGCGCCAGAAACCGGTTTCTGGTGAAAGCCTGTAGGAGTTATCGCTTCCATCAGAAACAGCGGATGCAGACCGAGAGGTCTTTTGAAACCGGCTGTGACTGTTGGTCAGTGATCGGTCAGAGCGAACCATCCGATGCCTCGGAGGTCGAGGTACGCACCACAGGCCAAGAGCTCAGTAAGCGGCCCCTTGACAAGGCTTGCTGCAGCTCTGCCCGAACAGAGACTCGGGCCCTGGCCGGCGGACGGGAGGTCCCCCTCCTTGAGCATTTCCCCAAACCCCTTCTCAGCTGCCACCTGTCCTCTCCTGCCCTTCCGTAAGGTTCCTTTTATCCTGCCCAAGTTCCCCTACCCTTGCATGTTGGCTGCTAACCTTGGTAAGTAATCGAGTTGCCGTGTTATCATTCCCGGGAGCAGGGGTAGGAGTGAACCACGGAGGAATCCAAGCTTCAGACCGACTACTTTTAGCTCCCCCCACCCCGTCTGCTCCCCCATTAGCTTCGTGTGCACCCATGTGCGGCCATGTAGCCCGAGGAGTCCAGTTTTAATCGCATCTGGGTGAAATGACTTCCCTGCTCTGTGGCCACTAGGTCCCACCATCACCTCCTACCAGGGGGGAGGTGGTCTTTCATCAAGAAGCTGGGGCACGCCCCCTTTATCTGGGGAGGGTCTCCCCAGCAGCTGAGGGCTGCTTCCGCTACGACAGGTGCGTGTGGAGGCTCACGAAGGCCCGGTGTGCGTCCCGGGCTACCGGGGAGCTCTCTGCAGAGCCGGCCACAGCACAGCAGTGGCACAGCTCAGCGCCCGCCGTGAGGGTTCCCCTCTGTCTGACTCCAGCAGATAAGCCACTTGCCACTTCCTGTCCCAGGGGACACAGACGGAATCAACACATTGGTCCCCTCCTCCGCTCTTCCTTTTTTTAAAAAAAGCAAAATGAAACAGCTCGCCGCCGCCGCCGGCCTGGCAAAACACAGCGGTTTAGGAAGCGGGGGCGCGGAGACGGAGAATGCAGAGTTAGTGTCACTCGGGGCGGGGGCGGGGGCGGGGGTGTCACAGCGGGCGTGGCTTACTGACCCGTCACTTAAAGGACCTTCTTTACTGGATCATGGGCAAGGTGGATTTAGAATGGAAACAGAAAAGACAGAAAGAATTATCGGTGACAGAGCCCGAGACGTCCACGGCCTCACTCGTGCAGCGCGGGCGCCATGCGTGGCGTGTCTGCGATCGCGTGCGCGGCACCCACAGCGGCGGCGGGCGCCCGCGGGCGAGGGCCATGCAGCTGACGCGGCCAGAGGCGGCGGGCCAGCCCAGCGGCAGCCGCGGCGAGCATTCCCAAGGCGGAGCGCCACACCACACCACACACACCACACACACCACGCCCCAGTGCCTACAAGGGAGACCAG